ACGCCCCCTGCTGGCAAACATCCTTCCATGTTGGTGTGCAGTGTCTACGACTTCTACCCCAAACAGATCTCAGTGAGCTGGAGGAGAGATGGACAGGAGGTCAGCACTGATGTGACCTCCACTGATGAGCTGGCTGATGGTGACTGGTTCTACCAGATCCACTCTCACCTGGAGTACACACCCAGGTCAGGGTAACAGCAGCCAGGCATTCATGTCCAGCTGCTCCTGGTCCACTTTGGTCTTTTTGGTCCAGTTGGCTGATGTTGATGCTTCTCTTTGTTTTGAACTGATGCAGGTCTGGAGAGAAGATCTCCTGTGTGGTGGAGCACGCCAGTCTGAGCAAACCTCTGGTTACTGACTGGGGTATGTAGCTGTCTGTCTCTCCTCATGTCTCTACACCTGTCTGTCTGTCTGCTCACCTGTCCTCCTGCCGTCTGTCCTCAGATCCATCGATGCCTGAGTCAGAGAGAAACAAGATCGCCATCGGAGCGTCAGGACTGATCCTGGGTCTGATCTTGTCTCTGGCTGGATTCATCTACTATCGGAGGAAGGTTCGAGGTAACTGTAGCATCCCTGCTAAATGATAGTCCAACTCCTCAACTGATGGTCCTCAGTGTTTATTTTCAAAACTCCCAGACACTTTGAAGACACTGTAAGAGCTATGAAAAAGGAAAAGAAACACACACATCAACAAGGAGATGAAATTATTTACTGTCCTTAGACATTATTATATTTTAATTATAACAAACACAAACATGTTATGTTTTTATAATCACAAACACTGAATTGTCATCTTTATCACTGATAGGGTGAGCCAGTTCAGCATCTTTAATAACTAAAACAAACTAACACAAACTTTAGAAGCTGGAAAACCTCCCACAGTTTCCATGAACACATGAAAAGAAAAAAACCTTATCAGCCAGATACTGACGAACACATCCACAACAATATTACAGGTCATTTACAGCAACGCTAACTAGAAAAGAACCAGTGTGAGAGACAAAGTCAAAAGTCAGTGCGAACACTGGAGACCTGTGACTGGACCTGGTTCTGGTTTCATTTGATTTAGTTTGAACTGGTTTGCTCTGGTCTTGACTTTGTTCCTTTTCTTCTCTTCATCCCAAGGACTCATCCCAGTTCCCCAAAGCTAAGCCTGGTCCTGATTCCCCATGTGGACCTAGTCCTGGTCCTGGTTGTTACCCAGCTGCTGCTTCATCAATGCTCCCTGTTTTTACTCTAGACTGCCTCCTGCTGGACTGTCAGAATTACCTGATTCTCTGATACCCAGCTGGTTCATACCTAGTCCAGGTCTGCTATTGGTGCCTTATCCATAGCTATAGATGGACCTGGACCTGGTTTGACCTTGACCCTGGTGTATCAGCCTTCCTGTGTAAAGACCTTTATATTCTGCTGCTGCTTCACTCTGAGGATGTTTTAAATGCGTGGCCACAAATCGATGCTAAGTCAGTGTTGATCCAGTTCAGAGGGCGTTTTTTAGCTTTAAGTCATGTGATTGATCAGATTGATGAGTTTGGACATTTTCTAATCACAATAAAACCCAGAGAAAAAATGTGTTTGTCGTTGATTATATTAAAATAAAGTTTAATGTTTGTCTGTGTAGGTTCTCAGTCATCCAGGTCATTTAATACAAAAACAGTTACACTGAGGGCAACTGGACTTCAGTTCTGAAGAAGGATGAGACGTGAAACGCCTTAAAAAAAAAAAAAAAAACAACCAAAAAAACCTCCTTTAGTCCAGTTGCCCTCGATGTAACTATTTTGGGAAAGTTTAATGTTAGTTTTACTCCAACCATGAAAAACAGCTGAGTTGAGTTGATTGAGCACCCTTTGTTGTGTACGCCCTCTTATAGTGAATTAAACAAGTAATAAAATCAATTTGATTTGACCTCACACTACACCCACACACACTCATGTTGACCTTTCTACTGTCATGTTTATATCATGTTTTGAAATCTGGTAAAAGGATCAGTTGTTTCACAAAACATTCATCATCACATTTATGAACCAACAGAATAAGATGTTAAATAAAGGAAAAATTTTAAATATATCATCACATTAACAAATATGTTAAAATTGCTGATTGAAGAAGAATAGAACAACCATGTTTCTTTGTGGTTATATAAAATAAATAATTTTTTGAGTCAAGTTTTAATTGAAAAGTTGATTCTCTTTTAGAAACAAGTACAGAATATTGTGTTTGATGACGCCTCAGAAACGGAACCCTCTTTCCTTACGCATGTGAAACAAGGCATATTAACTATGATATGTAATTTTATCACTTGATGTCACCCTTCTGTGCACAGTTGTTGAACAGTGTTGAGGGTGTAGCAGAAGGAGGGTGTGGCTCTAAGACCTGCCTCGGGTACGAACACTGATTGTTCAGATTCAGGTGCAGCTAACAGTGATTTAGTGGTTAACCTGTGGCTTCAAGGCTTCTCTACTGGTGCTAAAAGTGAATTCTCTTGTTGGCTGAGGTTCTAACAGCTGACACCAAGGATGAACTCAACTACTTACTAAAAGTAAACTCACTTCTGCGAGTTAAGTTAACTTGTTGCTAAAGGTAACCAAACCTACCTTTGTTAGAGAAATTCAATAATCGATCAATATAAACTCATAAATTAAGCAACTGACTCCACTGCTACTAAAGGTTAGCTTAGTTGTAGCTACGACTTTTACCTACAGTATATGTTATGTTAGACTTGGTTAAAGGTCAGAGGTTAAACCACATGTAGTTAATTCTACTCATGTCAACCCTCCTACAGCTCCCATCGTGTGTACTGTAGTTGAGGATAAGCTAGCTTGTAGCTAACATTATAAGCAGACTTTTAGTCAAAGGTTGGATGATGTGTCGCTAATGACATCAAACTCGCAACAGAATCCCAGTGTTTTGATTGGCTGTGGAGTTTCTGGACGGAGTGGAGTGGAGGTGCACGCTGACTCCTCCCTCCAGGTTAAATCTGATTGGAGGTTTCACACACTGACACAGCCACTGCTGCTGCACACCTACAGACAGGTAAAACACACACTCACACACACATTCACATACATATAATGGTAGTAAAAACTCAAGTGTCTCTCTCTGTATGTCCTCAGGCTCTCTCACCCAAGGTCCTGTCGGTCTCCGAGGTGCTGGACTGCAGGTGACACTGGCGCCCTCCTGTGGTCTCAGCTTTGATAAAACATTAAAAAGTGACTAATGAGATATTCGTGTGTGGGCATGCATGTGCGTGGGTGTTTGTGTGTATGTATAGTACTGAGTTGGTGTCTTTTCAGGGCCTGGTGTGTAACAGGATTAGTGTGACCAATAGGGTGTCTGATGGTGGACACACAAACACAGGTACACACAAACACACGTCTGCACTCGTTTCTGTGTACAGCTATACACAAACACAGGTACACAGACACACAACTAACAAACAGGTTCATATTCCAAAACTTGGACACAATTCTGCACACAGCCACAGGGGGAGCAGTGTCTGAGCGCCCTCTATGGACCAACCACAGCTGTCTCACGGTGTACACACTCACATACACTGTTGTCACCCTCAGGTGTGCGTCTTACTGTGTGTGACCAAAGTGGGAGGAGTCTGCAGGTATACCTGGGTCTAAGCCACACCCCCTACCCACATGGACTTTTACCAGGCAACACACTCCTGCTGTCTATGTTCCAGAGGAAAGTGTCAAGGTAACACACACCTACAGGCATACTCAGACAGCTCTTTTTTTCCCTCTCATCTTATTATCATTTTCCAAATTGTCAATCAGATCAGTTCTGGCTCCTCCCCCTCCCTTGATGCATTTGTTTCCTGACCTGAAACTGTCTACTGAGTCAGCCAGGCCTCTGATAAACAGATCTGGTCAACCTGACAGAGACATATCAAATCAAGAATTCTTTCAGTTAAAGAAACTGATTCTGAAGACTAAAAAGAGGTTAATAAATGATGTTTCAATCATATATTCTCTTCTTTCTTCAGTACTGTTACTGTTGTCTTTCTCTCTCCATGTGGGATTTTAAAATTGGCACTTTAAACCTAAATGGAGCGCGAGATAATGTGACGAGAGCTGCTTTTCTAAAATCAGTGGAACTGAAGAGAATTGATTTAATGTCAATTCAAGAAACTCACAGTGATCTGACCAATGAGAGTCATGGTAACATCATCCTGAGCCACAAAAACAAGTCGAGTGAATGTCCGTACTCAGTGTCTTGTGCGACACTATCAGAGAATGTAAAACTGATGAGTATTTGTTTTTAGGAGATGATTTGAACTGCTCAGAAAATCCTGTTTTAGACAGAAACCACCTTAAACCTCATCCTGCGTCATCGCGCCGGTTCAGGAAAATGAGGCAAGAACATGAACTGTCAGATGTGTGGAGGAACTTTCAAGGGGATGTTAGACAATACACCTGGTCATCATGCCTCATACCTCATGGTAATCAGACATCTTAGGCGCGGCTGGACCGCCTGTACTGTTTTAGACATCACATGAACATATTTAAAAGCTGCCACATGAATCCAGTGGGGTTTTCTGATCATTGTGTTCATCAACAAAATGTTCGGCATTTTAATTCTGCACTTTTAAAGCAGCTTTTGAACTGTTCTGGCTGTCCCTTAGGTTCAACAGTGGTGGGACTTTGGTAAAAACCCAAATTAAACAGCTGTGTCAGCAGTTCAATCACAATGTCACTAGAGAGTTAAGAAGATCAATGAAAGGAAATGATGGAGATTCAAGGTGGTGGTAGAACTGCAGAATTGAGCAGAGTCCACAGGAAATCGAGGACATTTAGACTCTGTCAAATCCAAAAGGTCAGCTCTGGCCAACCTGCTGGCCATTACAGCAGAGCTTTGGTCAGGTCACATTTCCTGGATGGCACACAGATGGATGCACCCTCTCTGTTTTTCCTCAGCCTAGAGACGAAGACTGGCCAAGGAAAAACCATCCACTCTCTAGGATCCAGCAGTGGCTCAGAAATCTCTGACTCCTCTGAGATTAGACGACGAGCAGTGGAGTTTTACCTAGACCCGTTCAATAGCGAGTTAAAAGACTTCCCAGATTTGCAGAGCGGTTTCTTCAGTGGTCTTCCTCGTGTGAATGCTGAAGCCAATAAAAAACTAGAGGGTCAGCTCACCATGAAGGAACGATACACTGATGAGTATGCAGAGTGGAAGAGCTCCTGGGATCGATGGTCTCTCTGTGGATTTTTACAAATCCTTCTGGCTTGTGATTTGTAAAGATCTGCTGGAAGTCCTCAGTGACAGTCTTCAGAGAGGCAGCAGAAGGGCTGCCATCACCCTGCTGCCCAAGAAGGGGCATCTGCAGGTGCTGAAGAACTGGAGGCCAGTGTCCCTGTTATGCACGAACTATAAGATCTTATCCGAGGTCCTGGCATCCAGACTGAGGGAGGTGATGGGTTCTGTGACTTAAGTGGCAGCGTCACTTTAATTCGAGACATTTTGGAGGTCTCTGGCTCATTGGCTGTTGACACTGGTCTGATGCTCGGGTTGAACACCAGTATCTATGGGACACTAGATGCTTCTGGGTTCATAGCCATGATCAAGGTTCTCTATGGTCACATTGTGAGTGTAGTGTAAATGGAGGTTTGAGTCCTTTAACATTCAGAGGGGGGCAGACATGTTGTGCTCTGTCTGTCATGCTCTATTCTCTGTCAGTTGAACCACTACTCCATACATTTGTTTTCCACACTGTGAGTTCCCGTTTGAACTGCCAGCCTATGCCGACGATGTCATTGTCATTGTTAACAGACAGAGTGACATTCATGTTTTAGTAAAAAATATCAACTCGTTTGAGTGGGAGAGAGAGAGTTCTAGAAAAAGTTGAAGGACGTTTAATGAAATGGAACTGGCTTTTACCAAAAATGTCCTACAGAGGGCGTGTACTTGTGGTAAACAACTTGGTCTCGTCTGCTCTGCGGCATAGGTTGGCCTGCGTCAATCCTCCAGTCTTTCTTCTAGCCCAGATTCAAAGGGTTCTTATCATTTTTTTCTGGGAAAGATTACATTGGATCCCCCAAAGTCTTTTATTTCTGCCAAAGGAGGAAGGTGGACAAGGTCTGGTTCATCTGGCCAGCAGGGGTGCTACCTTTCGCCTCCAGTTCACCCAGAGGTTGCTGAC